AAATATTTGAGACAGTTAGTCCCTTTTATGAATTTCGATGGATTCAAAACTATGACCAGAACAGGCTGGATTGAGGAGGTACAAATTATGTGCGGATCAAATTGCAACGCTACACAACACATCATCATAGAACAGAGTATAGAATGGCAGTCAACTCAACTCTACCTCAACTTCATCGACTTGAAAAGGCTTTCAACAGCGTCGACCGAGAAGTAATTTGCCAGGCAACTGCTCCAACACTACGGAATACCAAAAACCTTTATCAATCTCATCCAACAGCTATATGAAGACGCCATATGCTAAGAAATACATAATACACAATGGGAAGCTCAGTGATGCCTTCGAAGTGAAGACAGCAGAAAGACAAGGCTGTCTCCTATCACCCATGATCTTCCTGACTGTAGTGAACTGTATCATGCAGTAGACAACAGTGAGAAGCGAGAGGAGGGGGATCCGCTAGCTGAAGCGGGGAAAAGATCCTAGACAATTTGGATTTCGCCCATGATGACTTGTGTCTGATATCACACAAACTTGAAGATCTACAGGCGAAAACTAAGAAGTTGACAGAAGGGGCAGAGCAGTGAAGACGGGACTTCAAGTGAATGTAGAGAAGACAGAGGTGATGAAGATACCCAACCAATAACAACAACAAACACCAATGACCATGAACTGGAGAAACTTGAAGGAAGTAGTCTCTTTCAGCTACACCTACCTAGGCAGCAACATTTCAACTACAGGCAGCACAGACACAGACGAGGACGTCAAAGCCAGCCAGGATCGGAAAAGCAAGACAGGCGTTCAATAATCTGAAACCAATCAGTGTGGAGATCTTTTGCACTCCACTCAGCATGAAGTGTGAACGAGATTCGGATTTTCAACACCAACGTCAAGTCAGTGCTCCTATATGGTTGAGAGAGTTGGCGCGTTACGAAGACCATTTCCAACAAACTAAAGACGTTCATCAACAGGTGTCTACTCTGACTGGCTACTGAAGCTCAGATGGCCAGAATGATAAGAATAAGCAACAAGGAACTCTGGCTGGCCGGGCAATGAACCAACCAAGAAGCTATCACTCAACAAATATGTGATGGAAGGAAGTGGAGATGGATTGGATTGGGCATACACTGAGAAGACCGATTGTAGACATCACGCGCCAAGCCGGGCCGTCGAGTGGAACCCAGATGGGAAACGACGAGTTGGGCGGTCCAGCTGAGGGTGACATGGAGGAGATCGTGCGAGGAAGAAGTGAGAGCTTGTGGCCTGTCATGGAGCCAGGTTGAAAAGTTTGCAGAGAACAGGGCGCATTGGAGACGTGCTATTGAAGCCGTATGTTCCACTAGGAACCCAAGGGACAAATAATAATAATAATACAATATGAATTTCGATAGCTTAATTACAAGACGAAATTTATCTGAATAATCTGAATGATGCACATATAAACTGAGTAGTGACTACAATCCAATTAACCTGTGACTTAGAGTGTGATGAAGGTGAGCTAGCAATGTTGGATTGCCCGATTAAACGAATACAAGAAGGAAGTTTAGAGACTAGTCTCATCCATAGGGAACTTACCCATTCAAATCGCTACTTCGAATCCTCTCACCTCATTTCAGTTAAAGCAGGCCTAGTTAAATGCTTAAGCGATAGAGCGAAAAAACTTACTAGTAGATCGGAAAATCTACGACAAGGAATTAGACACGTCAAGAATACCCTACGTCACAATAATAACCCACCAAAACTTATCAATAAATTCGTAAGGAATCGAAAGAAAAGTATTAACAGTGGTAGTAGCAGTAATACTAATGGTAATAATGATGAGAAGGAATTCAAAGCCTCTGTTTTCTTATCATACAAGGGAAGGCACCTCAGAAGTATCAGAAGAATTCTCAGTAAGCCTGGCTGGGTCTAAAGTGTCTGACATTTAAACCAACAAACTTTCTTAGAAACAAGCTTTGTAGGTTAAAAGATCCTATCGATGCAATCAAGCGAAATAATCTGGTTTACCAGATCCCCTGCAATGATTGCAAGGTCAAGTTCATAGGTCAAGGCAGTCGACTAGGGTCGATTAGAATAACAGAGCACAGAAACTTAGCTAAATCAAGATTAGTAGATCCTAATAAGATAAGAAATGTAGAGAAAAGTTGGGCTATAACTCTGCATGCGATGACACACAGTCACACAGTAGGGTGGGATAGGGCGACAGTGTTGAAAACTAACTTAGTTGGGTGGAGGGAGGGAGAGATTGATAATCGACTAGATGTTTGTTTATCGAATCCACACCAAATACACGCAGTAATAGAAATGATTCTGCATCTGTCTCAGATATATGGAGAATTCTACTATCCTTGTCATCACAGAGAAGGAGAGAAAATTAGGACTATATAAACGCTGTCTCAGACTTGTGGAATTCAGTGATATGAATGAATACGGACAATAAATTGTGTCCGAAATGTGCCTATCCAGTAAATGCTGCTGTTTCTCCTCTGTGTGACATTTCTAATAAACAGACTGAAATGGAATTAATATCGATCACAGTGCCCAAATTTTACTCTTATATTAATGTGAGTGATATATTTACGCAATACAACATTTCAAACACACTGATCTCTCACACAGTTACTTGTCAAGTGAATCTATATTAAACCGAATAGTGGAAGGACAAATACAACAATTAAGATAACCAGGGGATTAAAATAAACAAAGATGAGAATAAACAGGAAGAGTGATATGGTTGATCCTTATCTTGGCAGGAAAACAAAGTTTACCAAGAGGGTTTGGTGTAGGCGGTTTCAATTTGTGTATGGCTATGACTTCAGCTTCTCAGTATGCTTTGCTGACTGTATTAGTAACATGAATATAAAAAAACAAGACTATATAGTCTTTCGATGTTGTTTCTTTATTCACTAACGTGCTATTATGAAAGACTATTACCATTCTCGGCGACTATATATCTTGAAATAATGGAGAATATTTGTAGCTTAGGTGGATGGTCTTGGTTGTATTGTGTTCTGTGAGCTTGGTTGTTTATTCATGAAGCTTTCATCGTCTTCCCAGGCGACATTATCAGCACTAACTTCGTACCACCCCAACCTTTCTCAACCACCTATTATTCCTGTGTACCAACAAAGTACACTTCATTTTTGAAGGTGAACGCTTTCCACAAGTTGACAGTGTACCTATGCGTAGTCCACTAGCACCACTACTACCTGGTAATTTCATCGCTAAAGTTCCTCTTCACAAGACAGATGTTGATGACATCATAGTGATTTGTGAGAGGGATGGCGAAGTGACTTGTCTACTGAAATGGATTAACACCATACAAACTCAACTCAGTCTGATTTGTGAGAAAGAGAACAGTAATCACTATCTGGCATTCTTAGACATCCTGGTGAGTCGACTTGGACATGGTTGAATAAGACGGTCAGTTTACAGAAAGTCTTCATGGTGAGGACAATACATGAATGTTGATTCACAGTTTCTGTCCGATTTATTACAAGTGAGGTCTAATAAACTGCCTGTTTAATAGGATCTATGATATCAGTACACGAGATATGATGAATGAAGATGTCAAATTCGTGATGAAAAAACACTTGTGGAGAATGGATATTGGATGAAGTTTATAAAGCGTTGTGGAGGTGATTTGGCACCTAAGCCAACTGTATACACACTTCGTGATAAAAGTGTCCATATCACTGTATCTAGGATACAGACAGACAGACAGACAGACAGATAGACAGACAGACAGACAGACAGACAGAGAGAGAGAGAGGGAGAGAGAGATGAGTTGAATAGTATGATTTTGAGATGTAGGCTGATATCAGCCATTCACATGAAAACATATTAGTCTGTGAATCTTATTATTGTGGAGAAAGCGAAACATACATTCTTCACCACAGACCTAAACACTACATCAATGATTACATCACATCCCATTATGTTGATGCATTTACATGTATGTGTGTGTGTGTGTGTTGTCACAGATATATATAGAGGAGGAGTAATGGAGTCATGTAGTTGAGAGTGGGAGATAACATGTGCCTAAATGGCTTCAAAAATAAATGGAGTGTGAAACAGTGATAAACGTTGATTGAAGACCACCCTCTTCATGTATAGCTTAACATATCATAGAAACAGGTGACAACAGTTAATCTTCAAACAGCTTTCAAAGTTTTATATGGAATCTGTTAGGAAGGTATTCTGAGATGTTGGGAAGCCATAGACATACACAAATTTGATATCCTGCTTGTCTTAATTGTTGTATTTGTCCTCCCACTCCTCGGTTGAATATAGATTCACTTGACAAGTAACTGTGTGGGAGGGAGATCAGTGTGTTTGAAATGTTGTATTACGTAAAAACATCACTCTAATTGTTCAAATAAATTTCATCTTCTAATTACGCTATCGAAATTCATAAAAGGGACTTTGAAAACAGTTGCTACTCACCATCCTAATGATTAAGTAACTTAGTGATTATGTATTAAAATACACATTGTAATCTTTCTTGGTTATTGGATGAAACAACAATCCAATTGGTTTTATCAGTAAATCAGTTTATGATATGGAAAAACAAAAACCTCTGCAGCACTGCTCATCATTTGGTACTTTTCGGTACACATAGTTAACAAACAACCCACTTCCATCCAAAAGAGACATACACACACACACACACATACTCTATTCAATTCAATGAAAATTTACTTAACCATCCATTCAATTCTGCTTTAAACTCCATACTATCTTATATAACAACAAACTGATACAAACGTATTTCAGTGTAATTTATCTTCAGATGATTTTTACCTCTTTTCTTCTTAATTGATAACAATCAAATGACTTCATATCAATCAATCACCTTGAAGGCTATCAGTGCCATATTCGAAATCAACAAAGTACTAATACAATGTTTCAATGTCTACTATGTTTGTTTATTTGTGCACGTGAGTGTGTGTGTGTGTGTGTACACTCACTCAAACCTATTTGTAATTGATAGTAAATAATTTTATGAAATAAATAAACTTTGATATAATCTATCTTGTTTTGAAATGTTGACTAGCCATAGATACAACCATATGTAAGTTTTATTACTTCAATGAGTTTATTGATAAAAAGAGTCAAATATGGATCGTGGCTAGGATGCACATTTCCTCCTATTTAGGACTCGTCAGCTGGATGTACCTGCTTCCCAGTGAGCGATGCCGTCCCCACTGAGATTTGGACTCAGGAGCAATCGCTTTAAACTCCAGTACGTTATCGACTACACCACGGAGCCACGATAGCCACTTCTTGTGCTACGGGTATAGTTTTTAGTACAAGGGTTTTTATATGATACCGTTGTTGATTGGACCGAATTGATGGGTCCAAGTAGGACGAAATGCGTATCCTGGATTCCACTGCTAGCCATGATCCATGAATAAAATAATTGGATTGCTGGCAATATCGAGGCATCCGTACAGGAGCCTATATATTAATACAGACCGATCAATTCGGTCCAATCAACGACGGTATCATATAAAAACCCTTGTACTAAAAAGAGTCAAGTTTGAACACTATGGTCGAATGTAATTCCATTTTTTATTGATTTATTAGATTGATCATATAGTGAAGAAATGATATTGTTTACTAGATTGCCTTTCTGACATAATTTATGTTATCCATAGTTATATCATACATCAAATACACTTCTCGAATGATGCTGCTTAGGCTAATATGAACGATGTCTGAAGTCTATATATTTAACTGCTGCCATTTAGACTATTAACCATCTCAACGTCTACTTCCATCTATTCCCAATGGAATTAATGTATACTACCTTTAAACCATATGGTTAACTGGAAATGCATTGATTTAGACACTCACCTTAGTTATATAACTGTGGGTACTTACTTATGATACTCCAGATCGTATAAATAGGCCCATTTGTGGTTAAAAAAGCTAAAGATTGAAGAACTTTCTAGTGAATGGATCGATACAAATGGACTAACAATGTCGTCTGGTTACAACGCAAACTTCGAATATTGCACGCTTTTGTTGTTGATAGTGGAACCTATCATCTGTATAATGACAAACGGAAATTCGTACCTGTTCCTTGATTTGCAGCAAGTTTTAATCAGGTTATGCATATCAATAACTTGTTATGTGAGTTATATAATTCCCGGTACTATTCTGTAAACTTTCAAAATCCATCATTTTGAAGGTGCTTATGAACTGGTATCTGTCATGTTAAATCCATTCCATAGGAATGGAAGTTTTTATTATCGTCACTTTGATGCACTGAATATGCTGAAAGTGATATTTTCTCTGTCCCGTAAACGTGATCTGATGTTTTTGATGGAGTTAAACGACCTCCCCTCTGTACTATTCAGGACCTGTAAAATCTTGTAAATTTTCCAACATATATCGATATGATGATGCCTGTAAACTGGCTTCTCTCATGTCAGATTACTAATGTATGAATAATTATTTATTTATATCAAGATAATTAACTGCATAATGTTGAGACACCCTCCATGTAGTCCTAATTTCATCGCCACCTTTGTGATGAAATGAATAGTAAGATTCTTCATATATCCGAAATAGGTGCTCAGTCATTCCTGTTGTTGCATGTATTAGGTGTTGGTTGATTCACTAAACAAAGATTCGGTGGTTATCAATCTCTCCCTCCACCCTGCTATGTTGGTTTTAGGTTTTTCACCCTGTCCCCATCTTATTGTTTGGTTGTGTGTAATCTCATACATGGCAATCACCGAGCTTTTTTATAAACTCCTTATCACCTTACTAGGATCTGCCAATTTTGATCTAGTTAGGTGTTTTGTACTCGGATAGGCTAATTGACCGACCCTGATCGACAATTTTCTCCTACGCATTCGGACTGGTAGTCGTTACAAGTGTTTGGTAAACTAAGTTATTCTGCCCAATTGAATCAATAGGATCTTTTACCCTACGAAGCGTATTTCGAAGTGAGTTTGTGAGTTTAAATGCCACTTGAATTCCAGTCAGCCTTATTCAGAATCCTACTGCGTGTTTCTGAGGTGCCTTCCTTGTATCTTGTAATATTGTAGATGTTTTCAATTCTCTCTTCGCAGTATTGCCAATAGTATAATTAACATTATCATTACTACTACTATTAACACCTACGTTACTAAGATTTTCATTACAATTCCTAAGGAAGTTATAAATTAATTTAGTAGAATAATTGTTGATGAGTAAGGTGTCTTTAATGTATCTGCTTTGTTGTGTTACATCTTCTGTTTTGACCAGTGAGTATTTTGGCCCTGTTACTCAGACACTTTACTAAGCCAAATTTAACTCATTCAGAGTGAGACAATTTGAAATGGCTAGCAATAGAAAATAGGATGCGAAATTCGTCCTCATCTGTATTCAACATGTGAAACTAAGCCCTCTTCGAACCCTATGATGTTAATCTGTGGAGAGATCATCTTTTTCATACTATTACTTAGGACCTTATGAATTGATTTACGTTTGTAATCATTGATAAGTAAGGTGCCCGTAATGTGTTCAACTTTAAATGACATAGGGTGAGATGATTTGAAGTGTAAAGGTTTTCCGTGGACACTAGTGCGTCTAAACTCCCATCCTTGTTTCACTTTTTACTCCACAATCCAACATCGCTATCTCCAATTCATCATTTTCTAATTCATAGGTGAATTGGATTGCGTTGACTACTGAATGTATACATGTGTGTTAAGAAATTATGCATGTACTACGATTTCAACACTGTAAACGCATCGTCTACATGTTGGGATTATATTTTTGGAGCAGGACTAAATTTTTTCTACAACCATCCATTCCCAGTTATTCATATGTCAGTTACAATAGGGGAGATTGGTGATGCCATGACAACTCCTTCTACTTGTTTGTATATTTTATTCTAAAACCTATAGATTGTGGAGGTTAGGCATAGCTTTACTCCTAACATGATCTCATCTACCGGTAACTTAGTTCGTAGTGTAAGCCCATGGTCATTATTGAGCTCGTTTCTAACTGCTTCCAGATCTATGTCAGTCAGTATGTTAGTATACAGACTAATCACTTAAAAACTAACCATTCCCTTCATCGTTATCTAAATGTATATCATCTAATCTGTGCTTCAAGTCATAAGGATTAGTAAGTCTTGATTGAGAACGATTTCTAATTGAACTTAATAGCAGTGCTAAATATTTAGATAAGTCATAAGTAGGAATGTTTCTAAAGTCTACTCTGGATCGAATAAGATAACCTGGTTTACGAATTTTAACAGTATCATAAATCCTACTGGGATTATCAGTTTTTCGGTATTAAATTAAACCGTTTCGAGTCACTTAAAAAAGTGAGTTTGAAATATTCACAGATCACATGTATCAGTATGTTTACTTATTGGACATTGAACATATTTAAAGGCGCTAAGCGAAATAATCTGTTCTAGGTTAAATAGGCAACTTTTTTGAGTAAACTATAAATGAGAATAAGTTTTTATAATTTTAGTTGGCATCCAATTCCCTTACAACTGTTTGACTCCATTAAAATCTATTCATTTTTGACACTGAATATCAGACTTCAGCAGTTATGGGTATCTTGGTTGTGTTGTGTTCTGTGAGCTGAGTTGTTTCATCTTGGAGACGCTTTCATCGTCCTTCTAGACAGTAACATCATCAGCACTAACTTCAGTATGAAGTGACCTGTCAATATCTCTCTTAGAGTGAATGATTTAGTAGCTTGCCCTGACGATGTGGTCTGTGGTTGGTTGTTTCCTTCGATTGTTGTGTCATTGACAGACTGTATAGACTTTCCTGTTGGCTGTTCCTCTGCTTCACCTCTCACCTTTCTGTCGTTTACTATTTCTCTCATTGGTTGATTGATTGGGTCTATGTCTATACATCTGTTGATTGCTGACTGACCTGAATGCTAAGCTTCTAGTATCCCCATGTAATCTACTGTATTACACCTGTTTTCATTTATTCTTACTTTCCATACTAAATATCTATGAAACGAACCCTAGGAGAAAGACTCCTAAACTGTTGAAATAACTTTTATACTCATATTTCCCATTATGAAGGTGAAAAGAGTGAGATCAACAATTTGAGCACAATACCAATATGTTATTTGATTTCGTCCAAGTCTCCTCAGCTGCTTACATTCTAAATTATCAAGTAAAATCGGCAAAGTATAGTGAAAGTTTAACATATTTTAGCTTATCAGAAAAAACAGTTCACAATCAGTTATTGGAACAAACAGGAACCGGCCTAGTTTAGTATGTCACATTAATATACATTATACAACTGAAAGGCATCAGAAGTAGAGAAAATCATTGTAGAACTTAGAATGTAAGATTACATAATCGAGTTGACACAGATAGATAGTGATTTCAAGCTAACCAGTCAATTTGAACATGTCAGTTTGAATAATAGATGATGTAACAAGCAGAGTAAGAAGGATTGCGTAATCATGCAAACGTTCGTAATGGAATCACCAAAGCGAACAGAGAGATCCATGTTGTTTTCAAAGGCGATCCTGAAGAGTCGGCTGTCCAGTTCGCTTAAGAAGACATTCTTCTCTGCAAAGCTGTAGATCAGCTTCTCTAGTATACAACTCATTCTGGAGTGCGTTGCCACTCTGGGCCACCTCGGTGTGTGTCTACAAATTTACTTGCTCCTGTGGAGCTAATTATTTTTAGGCCACAAAAACCGCACACTTTCCAGACGTATCTTGGAGCACTATCCTGCATGCATGGTTGTCGAGGGAAGAATGTTAGTCAGTTAACAGTTCAATTCTTGAACATTTGGTCAACTCTGCACATAAAGCTAGACCAGAATCTTCCTTCAATATCATTTATCGTGTCAGATGGAATAGTTCAAAAGGAGTACACCTTCGACAGTTGTGCACAGTGGAGGCACTGGCAATTCATGACTTGAAGTCTGATCTCTGAGTGCAAAAGAAGTATGTTCAATCTCTCATCTTACCTTGGTCTTAACACTTTCATTTTCAAACTCCTTGCCTTCCTCGATATTTCTACTGTCTTCGTTTATTACGCAACTACTTTGCATTCTTGATTCCAGTTTCTTAGCACTAGGTTAGTGATGTAATTATACCCTATTGTTTTATAATAGATTGTTATATGTTTATGATATACAGAAATATATGACTGTACAGCTTTAGAGAAAGATATCGTCGAAAAATAAATTTTTGCTGAATTATCTCTTCCCTAGTTTATGTGTTAAGTATCTTGAGAAACTTGACATTCCATGTCAATTAGATAGCAGGCGATTGTATTGTTGAAACTGATGTTTCCACTGAGTGGTTAACTCTTTGGAAAGTGTTGCCTCAGTATGCTTGCTTTGGCAACTACATATACGCTTAGCTAGATATGACATAGGAAGGTAACTCGTTCCCCAAATGATTTCAGTTCGTAATGAATACTACCTCTAAATTAAAAATCCCTATTCATCTTAAAAATGTTTTGTTAAAAGTTACACTCATTCGGAAGATCAAATGAAATAACACCAGAAACGGTTTAATGATAATGAGGATATCAAAGTAGAAAGATTAATCTAACAAAAGGAGGAGCGGGAAAAACCAGAAAGGGGTGAAGCACATCAAGACTAAAATAACCTAAGGTGAAGTCAGAGACAAATACTACACTGTACATACTTCATGGATAGCCAATGCCTCTACTGTTTTCAGAAGTTGAAGATGGAGGAAATGTGAGGTGCATGAGCAAAATTCGAGTCGGTTGAATGGTTGGAATCGATTCAGTGTTCAAGGATAGAACTTCTAATACATCTCCTTCCACCATTATAAAACCAGACAGGAATATGTTCTCCAATACGTGTTGCCAGAAATCTCTGACTACGTCTAATGTATCTTGATCCACAGGAGCAGGTGAACTAGTAGATACACATGGATGTGGCTTGTCAAAGGAGAGACGATTTTTCACGATGTGTAATGATGTATCACCTTTCAGTTTCACATTCATGAACAAAGTCATCTTAGAAACTGAACTGATAACTCGTTTCATATCTCTTTCTCACATATTCTTATCAATAAATCGTCTAGAATAACCATTTTCTGTAAGCATTCCTCTTATGAAGTCAAGTTCAACTTGCACACATAGTCTGTGCAGAGTAAGTGAATGAAGTTTGCTCTTCCTCATGATCGGTACCCAAGTGTAGAAATGATTAAGCTATCCGTTCTGAGTGGGTTTCCTGTAGATGGATCCTTTCAGTGTTCCATTGCTACATCTCATAATCACCACGTCAATGAAAAGAATTTTTATTATTATTATTATTATTATCATTATTTGTCCCTTGGGTCCTAGTGGAACATACGGCTTCAGTAGCACATCCCCATTCCACTCTCTTCTCTGAAATCTTTCCAACCTGGCTCCACAACTTCCCACAAGCTCTCATTTCCTCCTCATACAATCTCCTCCATGTCACCCTCACCTGGGACACACAACTCGTTTCCCATCTGAGTTCCACTCGACGGCCCGGCTTGGCGCGTGATGTTCCCTGTCGGCCTTCTCAGTGTATGCCCAATCCAATCCATCTCCACTTCCTTCCATCACATATTTGTTGAGTGATAGGTTCTTGGATGATTCATTGCCCGGCCAACCAGAGTTCCTTGTTGCTTATTCTTATTATTCTCGCCATCTGAGCTTCAGTAACGAGCCAGAGTAGGCAGTTGTTGATGAATGTGTGTAGTTTGTTGGAAGTGCTTTTCGTGACACGCCAAGTTTCTGAACTATCACGTAGAACCACTGACTGACTTGACTGAATTAGTGTTGAAAATCCTAATCTCGTTCACGTTTTATGCTGAGTGGAGTGCAGATCTCCACACTTGTTTCTGGCTAATGAATTCCTGTCTTGCTTTCCCGGTCCTGGATGCTGTGATGTCCTCGTCTGTGTCTGTGCTGCCTGTAGTTGAAATGATGCTGCCTAGGTAGGTGTAGGTGAAAGAGACTACTTCCTTCAAGTTTCTCCCGTTCATCGTGATTGGTGTTTGTTGTTGTTGTTGGTTGGTTGGATATCTTCATCACCTCTGTCTTCTCTACATTCACTTGAAGTCCCGTCTTCACTGCTCTGCCCCTTCTGTCAACTTCTTAGTTTTCGCCTGTAGATCTTCAAGTTTGTGTGATATCAGACACAAGTCATCATAGGCGAAATCCAAATTTTCTAGGATCTTTTCTCCGGTTCAGCCGGCGTATCCCCCTCCTCTCGCTTCTCAATGTTGTCTACTGCTTGATCCAGTTCACTACAGTCAGGAAGATCATGGGTGATAGGAGACAGCCTTGTCTTTCTGCTGTCTTCACTTCGAAGGCATCACTGAGCTTCCCATTGTGTATTACTTAGCATATGGCGTCTTCATATAGCTGTTGGATGAGATTGATAAATGTTTTTGGTATTCCGTAGTGTTGGAGCAGTTGCCTGGCAAATTACTTCTCGGTCGACGCTGTTGAAAGCCTTTTCAGAGTCGATGAAGTTGAGGTAGAGTTGAGTTGACTGCCATTCTATACTCTGTTCTATGATGATGTGTTGTGTAGCGTTGCAATTTGATCCGCACATAATTTGTACCTCCTCAATCCAGCCTGTTCTGGTCATAGTTTTGAATCCAGCGCATCCTTTAATCTCTCTAGGATGATGGGGCCTAATATTTTGCTTGGAGTGGACAGAAGGATGATTCCTCGAAGGAAAGGAATTGTTGATTCTAATTCCCTCTTTATGGTGAATTCCAATATATAAACGACCTATGCCAATCAATGGTATAAAATGGACTGTATCAAGATTGAAAATCAATTGGGTTGGGTAAATCAAAGTAGAATCCTTCTGTTATAAAGTTGTAAGTCACTTGGAATAGAGAAGAGAAGACAGAGGTGATGAAGATACCCAACCAACAACACCATCACCACCAACAACAAACTTCAATCACCATCAACGGGAGAAACTTAAAGCAAGTAACCTCCTTCACCTATCTAGGAAGCACTGTTTCAACTACAGGCGGCACAGACGAAAATGTCAAAGTCAGAATCGGAAAAGCAAGAGAAACGTTCCTTAGCCTGAAACCAGTGTGGAGATCCTCTGCACTCAGCATGAAGCGTGAACGAGATCCAGATTTTCAACATCAACGTCAAGTCGGTTCTCCTATATGGTTGAGAGAGTTGACGCATTACTAAAAGGATTTCCAACAAACCACACACATTCATCAACAGGTGCCTACTCTGGCTCGTTACTGAACATCAGATGGCCAGAATAATGAGAATAAGCAACAAGGAACTCTGGTTGGCCGGGCAATGAATCATCCAAGAACCTATCACTCAACAAATATGCAGTGGAAGGAAATGGAGATGGATTGGATTGGGCATACACTGAGAAGGCCGACAGGGAACATCACGCGCCAAGCCGGGCCGTCGAGTGGAACTCAGATGGTGTTCGTGGTGAGGGTGACATGGAGGAGATTGTATGAGGAGGAAATGAGAGCTTGTGGGAAGTTGTGGAGCCAGGTTGGAAAGATTTCAGAGAAGAGAGTGGAATGGGGATGTGCTACTGAAGGCGTATGTTCCATTAGGAACCTAAGGGACAAATAATATAATAATAAGTCACATGGAATATTTCAGGTATGTGTACTAGCAGAAACATATTCTCGTATATGTGTTGATGGCAATCTCTATGCAGCAAAATACATCGATTGTAGCTTGAACAGGATCTCACAGAAAATCGCATGTTCTAATTTACATGGTGGGAACTACTTCAAGTTGTTATTCATCGTAGACTGACATCAGTTGGAGGAACAAAGGAAACCTGGGAGTACTGAACATCTGTTTTGTCCTGGAATGAGACTCGTCAACAGTGCGCACCCCTAACCCGCCCTCCAGGGATCAAACTTCCGACCTTCAGGTCCCGTGGCCAGCACGCTACCATTAAGTCACTGACTCAGAATGCAGTGGGCTATATTTTCAACTTCTGTTAGCTCATGATATAGCCCAACCGCCACCCAATGTCATCGTTGAGTAACTGTCCTCATGACCATCAGGCTTTGCCGCCACTGGTCACAATAGGAACTGTTTAAAACACTTATAACCAGATTTTTTAGTGATTTATGATAATAAAGTGGAATAACATTTTTAATGTTCTTATTTTTCATCTATATTACTCTACTATGAATCATTGTAAAAGTTATATTAAACTATAATGGGTAAAGGACAGACAAGTTATGATATTGAAGTACAACAACGTAGAATTATGAAGATGTATGAACATGATGTTGTTGAATTAGAGAAAGCAGTTAAAATATACCTAACCAATATTGATCAATTTTGTAGAACACTTGAAGATTGGCTTAAACAATTATACATATGCAGTTCATCAAGTCAACTACGAGTTAGAAAGTGAGTTAAAGCCTAATATACCTGTCTTTCTATAATATAAGTGTAAAACCTAGACAGTTTGCTAGAATATAATACCATATCAGAGATTTGTTTATATAATTTATCACACACATTAAGTGATAGACTATTACTTACTTTATGACATCTCCAGCTCATAATCATATCAGTGTGATCACACTCCACTTTCCACATATCCCTTTCATAGTCCTGTCAACCACCTCACATTCTTTGTCATTACATTTGTAGTGAAATTCTCCATATCTCTGATACACATGTCCTACAGCATTCATATCCTACTCACGTGCCATTCTTCAACACTATCACCATTCTCTATGACTATATACATCTTCCACAAACCTCACATCTCCCATCATCTCAACCTTTCTCAACCACCTATTATTCCTGTGTACCAACAAAGTACACTTCATTTTTGAAGGTGAACGCTTTCCACAAGTTGACAGTGTACCTATGCGTAGTCCACTAGCACCACTACTACCTGGTAATTTCATCGCTGAAGTTCCTCTTCACAAGACAGATGTTGATGACATCATAGTGATTTGTGAGAGGGATGGAGAAGTGACTTGTCTACTGAAATGGATTAACACCATACATACTCAACTCAGTCTGATTTGTGAGAAAGAGAACAGTAATCACTATCTGGCATTCTTAGACATCCTGGTGAGTCGACTTGGAGATGGTTGAATAAGACGGTCAGTTTACAGAAAGTCTTCATGGTGAGGACAATACATGAATGTTGATTCACAGTTTCTGTCCGATTTATTACAAGTGAGGTCTAATAAACTGCCTGTTTAATAGGATCTATGGTATCATTACACGAGATATGATGAATGAAGATGTGAAATTAGTGATGAAAAAACACTTGTGGAGAATGGATATTGGATGAAGTTTATAAAGCGTTGTGGAGGTGATTTGGCACCTAAGCCAACTGTATACACACTTCGTGATAAAAGTGTCCATATCACTGTATCTAGGATACAGAGAGAGAGAGAGAGTTCAATAGTATGATTTTGAGATGTAGGCTGATATCAGCCATTCACATGAAAACATATTAGTCTGTGAATCTTATCATTGTGGCGAAAGCGAAACATACATTCTTCACCACAGACCTAAACACTACATCAATGATTACATCATATCCCATTGTGTTGATGAATTTACATGTATGTGTGTGTGTATGTGTTGTCACAGATATGTATAGAGGAGGAGTAATGGAGTCATGTAGTTGAGAGTGGGAGATAATATGTGCCTAAATGGCTTCAAAAACAAATGGAGTGTGAAACTTGTTAGTTTTCGTCTGTAGATCTTCTAGTTTGTGCGACATTAAACATAAATCATCTGTGAAATGCAAATCTTCTCTGGGGTCTTTTCATCGGTCCAGCCTGCTTATGCCCATAATTGTATCAGTGTAATCACGCCACTTTCCACACCTCCCTTTCATAGTCCTGTCACCCACCTCATCTTCTTTGTTGTTATATTGGTAGTAAAATTTTCCATATCTCTGATATAGGTGTGTTGCGTCATTTCTATTCCACATATGTTGGCTGGGTGTTAATTCGATAAATGCAGATTCAGTAATCTATCTCTGCCTCTTGAGTACACCGGTTTTGTCCCTCTCACCCACACTATTGTGTGGTTCTCTGTTAATCCACTGAAATAGCTGAGTGCTTTTCTAGAATATTGATTTTATTGGACGATCTGTCATTTTATATTTATCTAAATTCCTGTGTTCCACTATTCTTTCTGATCTCAGAAGGCTAGTATCACCTATGTACTTAACCTCACAATCATTACGTGGAATTTGATAGGTTAGATTATTTTCCTTAATTGGTTCTGCTGGATTCTTAAGCCACCCGACAAAGTTTATCTCTGAGCGAGTTTGTCGGTTTCAATGTCACCCTAATTCCAGCTTTGCTGAGGATTCTATTTAAAGTTTCTTATGTTTCTTCCTTACAGGGTAACACGATGGAGGCTGTAAACTCCTTTCTACTTGTCTTGTCGTTATCATCCGTTCTCGTGTTATTGTTATTATTTCGTTTCTTGTGTTCGTATGAAGTTTTTAATCAGCTGTAGAGGATAGTCACTAACTATTATTACCACTTTCATGTGTTTCAGTTCCTTGTTTAAGTCCTTGAACTTACTAATATCCAAACCATCATCTCTCCTTCCTTTTATTCTGCAATCCAACATGAGTAATTCTTCATTTTCTACCTCCTCGTAAGTGAATCGGATTGCATCGAATACTGAGTTTTTCTATGTGTGAGGAAATTGTCAATGTATTCCGATTTCAGCATACTAAATGTGTCATCCACATTTCACCACCATATCTTACATGCAGGATTCAATATTCATAAAGTCATGTCTTCCCAACTATCCATAACTAACCTCTGCTACGACTGAAGATATAGGCGATCCCATTCCTACTCCTTCTGTTTGTCAATATATATTTTGTCGTGAAAATTGAAGACTATGGAGGTCAGATACAACTGAGTTAATATTTAGTTGATTTCTGACTGTCTCCAATGTCATATTGATTGGTATTTTAGTATACAGACTTATTACATCTAAGGTAACCATTGTTTTCATCTTCTTCTATGTGTAGGTCACTAGGTATTGGTTTCAACGTTTAAGAGTTTACCAGTCTGGAATTTGAAGTGTCTCTGATAGAAGATAATATCGATCATAAGTACTTTGATAGTTCGTATGTTGGGGGTGTTTCTAAATTCCTCTATGGGTCTAATGGGAAAACCTGGTGTTCTATGAAAGTACCATAAATTCTGCTAGGATTATTAGTTTCAAGCAATAAATTAAACCATATGAATTCACCTACAGATGGCTTTATTTGACATATCAGATTGCCTGTAGATTTATAACTAGGCGGAGAGACGAATGGATTGATTACTGAATACTTATTCATCGAATCAACACCCAGCTAACATATGTGGGATATCGATAAGGTAATTAAAAGACAAAATTTATCTGAACAATCTGAGTGATGTTATTACGTAATACAACATTTCAAACAAACTCATCTGCCACCGATTTAATTGTCAAGTGAATCTATAATAAACTAAGGAATGGGGAGAACCAATACAACAATTAAGATAACCAGGGGATTAAAATAAACAAAGATGAGAATAAACAGGAAGAGTGATATGGTTGATCCTTATCTTGGCAGGAAAACAAAGTTTACCAAGGCGTAGGTGTAGTGTACATCAGTAAATTGTTTTTGTATACATAAAGGCGGTCTAAATTTGTGTATGACTATAGCTTCTACAAATCTCAGAATACGTCCCTAACTGTTGTCACCTGTTTCTATGATATGTTAAGCTATACATGAAGAGGGCCATCTTCAATCAACGTTTATCACTGTTTCACACTCCATTTGTTTTTGAAGTCATTTAGGCACATATTATCTCCCACTCTCAACTACATGACTCCATTACTCCTCCTCTATATATATCTGTGACAACACATACACACACACATACATGTAAATTCATCAACACAATGGGATATGATGTAATCATTGATGTAGTGTTTAGGTCTGTGGTGAAGAATGTATGTTTCGCTTTCGCCACAATGATAAGATTCACAGACTAATATGTTTTCATGTGAATGGCTGATATCAGCCTACATCTCAAAATCATACTATTGAACTCTCTCTCTCTCTCTCTGTATCCTAGATACAGTGATATGGACACTTTTATCACGAAGTGTGTATACAGTTGGCTTAGGTGCCAAATCACCTCCACAACGCTTTATAAACTTCATCCAATATCCATTCTCCACAAGTGTTTTTTCATCACGAATTTCACATCTTCATTCATCATATCTCGTGTACTGATATCATAGATCCTATTAAACAGGCAGTTTATTAGACCTCACTTGTAATAAATCGGACAGAAACTGTGAATCAACATTCATGTATTGTCCTCACCATGAAGACTTTCTGTAAACTGACCGTCTTATTCAACCATGTCCAAGTCGACTCACCAGGATGTCTAAGAATGCCAGATGGTGATTACTGTTCTCTTTCTCACAAATCAGACTGAGTTGAGTTTGTATGGTGTTAATCCATTTCAGTAGACAAGTCACTTCTCCATCCCTCTCACAAATCACTATGATGTCATCAACATCTGTCTTGTGAAGAGGAACTTCAGCGATGAAATTACCAGGTAGTAGTGGTGCTAGTGGACTACGCATAGGTACACTGTCAACTTGTGGAAAGCGTTCACCTTCAAAAATGAAGTGTACTTTGTTGGTACACAGGAATAATAGGTGGTTGAGAAAGGTTGAGATGATGGGAGATGTGAGGTTTGTGGAAGATGTATATAGTCATAGAGAATGGTGATAGTGTTGAAGAATGGCACGTGAGTAGGATACGAATGCTGTAGGACATGTGTATCAGAGATATGGAGAATTTCACTACAAATGTAATGACAAAGAATGTGAGGTGGTTGACAGGACTATGAAAGGGATATGTGGAAAGTGGAGTGTGATCACACTGATATGATTATGAGCGGCGATAATGAATGCTGGAAACGTTATCAAGTAAATAACACTTTATCACTGTGCTCTGTACATTAAGCAAATCAATCTGATATGGAATTTCTCTTTACTTTTATAATGTTTATTGGATTGATAATATTTCGCTTGAGTGTTTCTCATTCAGTTATTTATCAAAGAAAGTGATTTCAGTGAAGAATTACTCATTTTGCTGACTGATTTGATGACCTTCATGTGTCTAACATAAATGAAAATGCATCATGAAACCAAGTCCCTTAGCCTCATAATCACATTACAGACTATTTGGAGTAATCGTTTCAGTACTCCCGATATGATAATATAAAACTAGGTAATCCTCAGTAGTTAAGTAGTATATCTATTTCATTTGTAAACGAGGTCAATCGTAGTCTTAATTTTTCAACGATAACACCCTCGGTTAATCAATGAGTGACGTGGGTAGTCATCTGTAAAGT